TTGGAACAACTAGAACAATCTATTGCGGTATCAGAATGTTCGATTTTCAAAAAGTGGGATGCCAGCTTAAAAAATCATTTTTTTTGTTTTATTCGAAAACCGTTTCGAATGAAGCAATATTACTTTGGAACAATGTGGTACAAAGTCAGAACAATCTAGAACAACTTTCAAAATTATAAATTTTAAAAAGTGGGGTGCCAACTTAATACACTTGAGTGGTTCATGAGTCGTGCGGGGATTAATTTTTCTCTTTTCCTTCGGTTCTCGTGCGTGCACGCGCTTCCTCCCGTTTTCACTTACACGCGCGTTCGCAGCGAACTCGCGTTCTTGCGAATATCGAATATCTTGTGAACCATTATCAGGTCTGATATGATTTAACACACATGTGTAAACAATTTCGAACTACGCGTTAATAAGAATCTTGTTATTCTCTTATGTCATTGGCCGCAGCTGCTCGAATATCGACCTCTCCTATACTCTATATACTCTAGTACCAACCGTATTTTTCAGATACATCTGAAAAGAGAAGATCCTTAATCTTTAGACTTCCGGAAAAGCCACAAAAGTGGCTTTCCCAGCAGTCTAAAAGTTAACTTACTCGAAATTTCATCGGAAAAGTAAAGCGACCTCTGTGCTACTCAAATTTAAATGATTTCTGATTCGTATAGAGTGAAGTTTTCACTCGCTATTAAAGAGTAAATTTGATTTACTCTTCTACCGTCACAGAAACACACCCGAGAAAAAATAATTACATACAATTACATATGAATCTTGCCTCTATATGGCCACATATAATTATACGTAATTACATATGCTGACATAGAAAGAAATGCTGTTGTACAAATATAGTCCAAGTAATTGCTTATGTTTGTAGCAGCTTGCGATGCCAACGTTTAATTGAATGAAGCTATTTTCCCTTTTGTCTTTAAGAGCATTTTTTTCTGTGTGAACATGTGTGTGTGTGTGTGTATTATAGGATATGAATTATAAATATATTTAATTATATAAATGTTGGCATCACACGCGGACTGTTTTTTTATAATATTGCTTTATTATTAGGTGTACAACTTTGCTTCCGCCGTTTTTTTTCCAAAATTCGAGACTTTATTGTAAAAAACTGGTTATACATTTATGATTCAAAGTATTGTCCATCGCTGGCCACTACTTTCTCCCATCTTTCGGGCAGCGTACGAATCCCGCGTCGAAAAAACTGGTCATTTTTTGAAACGATCCACGAATCGATCCAATTTTTTACTTCTTCATAAGACCGGAAGTGCTGGTCAGTCAGACTGTGTGCCATTGATTGAAACAAGTGATAGTCAGAGGGAGCAACGTCTGGAGAATACGGCAGGTGGGGGTAGAACTTCCCATTTCTATGTTTCCAAGTATATCTTGACCACTTTCGTAACATGGGGTCGAGCATTGTCATACTGCAAAATCACTTTATCGTATCTCTCGTTGTATTGCGGCCGTTTGTCTTTCAATGCTCGGCTCAAACGCATCAATTGCGTTCAATACCGATCGCCTGTGATTGTTTCAGTCGATTTTAACAGCTCGTAATACACGACGTCGAGCTAGAGATTTCATCTACGTGGAACTCGTAATCCCCGAGTGTAGTTGTGTAGAATAACGAAGTCACGTGATAAATTATAATTAATAGTGTACGCCTGTTGTAGCTAAATTGAAAATTGATTGAACCTTAATTTCCTGTTCTGTCTTAGTCCGGTCTCTTTTCTCATTCGATCATTGAGACACTAACTTCTTAGGCGTTTGCTAGCGAAGTAAGATGATTCTCTCTCTTTCTTCAGAGCGCTTTATCTTTATTATATATATATATATATATATATATATATATATATATATATATATATATATATATATA